GACAATGATAATTTGGACCAAAAAAAATTAATATTACGTAAGAGATAGACCCATTAGTATTGATGGCAGGAGTTCACTGCTAGGTAAATTAAAAAAAAATGTTTACAAAGAGATGAAATTCTTATTTAAACACCACAAAAAATTTTTTTTAATATTACGTAAGAGACAGTCCTATTAGCATTGATGGCATGATGTCACCGCTGGATAAATTAAAAAAAATGTGATTTCAAAGGGATGAAATTCTTAGCATTCCATGGTTTCAACGTGTGAGTGAAAGTCATGTTGCTCGAAGTGAAACTTCCAGATGATACCGAGACTTGTAACACGGGTGCAGGTTTTTTCCCTTTCTTACGCATATTAAAACTATCCTTCACTACTCGTGTTCCTCACCCTGTCTAACCTTTAGTATGAACCTTCTAATATAGCTTTGAATACTTGTTCTTAAAACTCATTAAAACTTACCGTTCTAGACAAGCTAAGATCTTTCAACCGAAGAGTTTACTGCTATATTTCGCACTCCTACTTATACAGTATTTTATATCGATTAACGATTATATTAGACCAACTCGTATTATAATAAAAATATTTTATGGTTGTTATGTAAACTCCATACATTGAAAGAAAATTAATTATAATGTATTTATTGTCACATGGAGAAAATCAAGGTAAAAAATTTGTAAATATTATATAAGCATCGTGGTTACACACCACGATAGACGAAGATAGTTAGACATGATAGATCGAGAAAATGCCGAAGTCGTACTTGTAACTCGGTTCGCTTCAAATGTTGATTAATGTATGTGTCAGAGCAACGGATAGCTCTTGAATATGCAGACCCTATTTGTTTTAGCAGCTGTAACCGTTTCAGATACAATACATTAATTTTTGTCGGATATAAAATTGAAAAAGTTCAATGCACAATTCAGATTTTTATCCTAACTAATAATATAAATGCAAAAGTATTGTGTATTACACTTTTACGCCAAAACTGCTGAATGTATTGTGATCAATTTGGCGATAGAGAGGTTATATGTTTAGAGGCTACTTTTTTCAATGGTAAACGTACAGGGAATCAGGTGTGGAAAGTGGTTATTTCTGTATCAATCTTTTTAATATGTCATTCGATTTACTGCAAACATTGCAGAATTATTGTTTATAATTAAAGTATACATACTTATTTATAAACTCGACTTAAAATGAGGAGAAATGCGAATGTAAATATAAAGAATGCAAGCGAATCCAAAAATAGATTTTGTCATACAGCGAGATATATAAAGTTTAATATAATATTATTTTTCAGTACAAATCCAAAATAGAAAAAATAAACACGCGAATAGCTATTAAAATGACATTTTTTACGTGATCGCAAGCAATAATTTTTAAAGAAAAATCAGAACCATGCAAAAGTAGCTGTACGATCGTGAGATATTCTGTAATTTGATATTTTTCGCTCCAGTCGTGCGGAAATACCATGAAAATGGAACGAATGTAATTTAAAGATACCTTTAACATTCAAATCAGGATTTATTATTCGAAAATAAACGTATGAAGACTTACAATTAGTGGCTTCGCTGGTATATATATCTAACATATCGTATATACCTAATATGAGATATATATTAGGCATGTAGAAGTATATATGTAATATATTTACTTACAGTTTTGAATGTCTCCTTTATATTAGTAAACATTTTTTTTTAATTTGACGTCATACCTATATATTTTTATTTATTAAGTAACAAATTTACAATATATACTAATACTATAAAGAGGGAGAATGAAAGATTTTTTTCGTTAAAATGTAAAATTAATTATAATTTGTGTATTCTTTAATTGTTTGAAAGATACAATTATTCCAAAAGGGCATCGGCTAGAAAACTCATAGTTTGAATCACATAGTACACTTTGTTTGTTCTTAATATTTTTTTTCATACCGCGTAGGTGGCAATCGAGCTTTAGTTAGCCCATCGTGACAAATTCACAAAGAATTTATCAAGGCGGGCTCCAGAGCGAACCGCGTGGTGTTCAAGCTGACATGGTACATTGCTAGCAATAGTGTCATCAGTCCACATTACTAACAATTTCCTTTTCCCCGATGGTAAATGGTTACCGTAGCCTATAGGCTTATGTCACAAATGCTTATATAACGGATGTCACGTGCGCTTTACTGACCCTCACGAAATCTTAATATTTAATGCAGTGTACTTATACATATGAAAAATATACAAATGCCTTTTATGAATTTCTCATTGAAAGAATCATAGAACCTTACACTTCACCACATTTCGTTTACGAGCTTAAATTTAAACTTTTCGATAGAATAGACCCGCATAAAATGTTTGGTGAGGTCGCAGAAATATTACAGAAAAATTTCTCGTAAACTTTTTATAGGTTTTCATGTTAAACAGCGTCCTACAAACAATATTGATTATGTATTGAAAAGTTCTACTCTGAAAAGTGGTTTATTTAAGCGACTCGCCTGAGTAGATTCTACGTCCATTTTTCACGAAATATAAATAATATATTCTATATATAGTATATTCATAATAATAACCCTTTTGTTAACAATGTACCATGTCGACTTACAGCCAGTCTCTTTTAGAAACCATTGAAAGTACTCTCTGGTGAATTACCCAATTCCCACGTTCCCATCGTAACTAATTCAGACATTAACCACACAGTTTTTTAGGGACCGCATTAAACTCAACCTGATATGGATATTACTAGCCATAGAGTGACTAATTCCCATTACTAACAATCACCCCTCCCCCAATATTGTGTATGTTGTAGTAAATATATTGCTAAAATTTGTTATTTAGTTAGTTAGTTAGTTTTATATAGGTATATACCTATATAAAAGTGTATTGTAAAATCAGTGCAATCATTTATTTCAACTGGGTCATAAAATCTGTATAAACGTCATTAGTATATTGCGAACCATTTGCAAACGCTTTACTCAAAAAGAATGCGGTACTCAGTCGGGGTATTACCGATTTTATTTATATTATCTGATCCTGTATTATCGAGAGCAAAAAAATATTGGGTATAACTTACGATGTCATTATCATATTAAAGTACTCAAAACAAAATAAGGACCACCTTAATTTTGTTGTATTTTTATAAAATAAGACTCGTAGTTCAATAAATTTTGAATCAAAGTATTTGGAACGGGTTCTATGAAATGTAATTAAAGAATAATAATGTTCAATTGGTTATCTTTATCGTATAATCCTAGCTATCCTAGTCACACGCATCTGCATGGTCCAGACGACTTTTTCCAAAGTCTTGCTTTTTATGACTAACCTAATTATTAAACCAATTAGTCGTTGTAATTTTTTTAAGCAACAATATTCTTTAACAACATTGTACTGTACTAAAAACATAAAGAGGAATGTTTTTATCATAATGTGTTTGTTTGTAAATGTTTATTCATAATTACAAACAGTCACACCAAGTCCGTGCTTATTGCAAGTATCATGTCAGGCGGACCTTCACGCGTTACCTCTGGGAACCAGCCTGGTTGATTCCTGGTAAATTTGCCACGATGGGCTAATTGAGTAAATTTCATGCTCATGCATATATATATATATCATAATACACTGGTCCATCATCTTACAACCGCCTATCCATCACAATACTACACTTTGATCTTAGCCAAAAGGTAATTTTTAGTCATATTAAAAAAAATAACATTACATAGTGATAGGCGAATATGTTAAATCTTAAAATACGGTACAAACTCACTTTAGCATTTCTAATATTAGTTAGAATTTCATGCATATATTTGTATTATTATTGTAGATTGCGAATTGAGTGAAGTGATTGGGGTACGTAAATCAATTTTGCAAAGCTTTTAACGGTGTTGTCTGGAAGGCTGTTGTGAAGCAATTTTCCGGAGGCTTCCCTAACGTTATGAAACGTGGCTACGTTTCGTTGAGTTCATTCAAAAAGTCAATTAATAACTCAATTGTGCACAATATAGACAATAAAACACGTGTTGAATTAAATATTTTATTGTAAACCTATTGTTTTTGATGAGTATCTGTATATAATATTTTACTTCCGTTTTTATGCAAATACTAACAGTTACTCGGATTCGTCTAAATTTAAGATAAAAGATTGACTATGTCCATCTATCTTTCTGAGTTTCACATTTAACTTCATTATAAATGCTATTATGTTGCAAGTTATATGTACGTTCTTCTTGTGATGAGACAGCATTCCGAAGGAGCAGTAGTTTAATAAAAATAACTATTACTGTTTATTATGCTTAAATTAAGTTTATTATGGACAAATATTTTCCCATTACCTGTAAAATTTTTTAACACTTTCCTTAGATTAGCAATATTTCTGTAAGAATGCATATTTAAACTCAAGTCCTATAATGTAATACAATTAAGTCGATCAATTTGGTTAACATTACCTTATACAGTAAGTATACGTGAGACGTTCTACAAACAATATATTTTTAAGAGAGAAATATAATGTCTCGGGTATATATGAGTACATACTATAGGTACTCATTGCATATATATGAGTCCATTTGTCATCATTTAATTTCAATTTGCACATCTCGCGACCTATTCCCATGACAATAACCACAGTAAGCTATAAAACGTTCAAAACACAATTGAACACAATTTGTCAACTCCCGACCACCGTTTATTTTTATGAAACTGTTTTTGTTTGACGTTATATTTTTATTAAATTTAATTAGTCAAACAATAATCTCAAAATAAAATTAATGTAAAAAATACAATTTATACATAAAAATAAAAAACATATTCTGTAAATATATAGTCTATTTATTTATTAATTTGTAAGTTTCAAGGTCGGATTTTACCATATAAACAAAATTTGTATTATATTTTAATTGTAAATACATTCATTTTTTAATTTTGACCATATAAATATGACACAGAACTAGACAAAAAAGATTTCAACATTAACATTTTCAATATCACAATGAATGTGAATTGTCGAGAGACATAAAACAACAATCAGTCCACACTTAGAGATAGACCGTTATCAATTAGGTAATTGGAACCAGTAATACCCTTAGCTTTATCGCTGGCTAAGTAAAGAACCAAATCGGCGATTTCTTCACAAGTTGAATATCTACTGAGTAGCGATTTAGTACTGTAATCTCCTAGAGGAATGTCTATCCCTGCTTTAGCTGTGAAATCAGTTCCGACAAGTCCTGGACTGATAGTATTTACTCTGACTCCAAGCGGTGATAGCTCTAGAGCTGCTCCAAGCGTGAAGTAATTTACAGCGGCTTTGGATATCCCGTACGCATTAACTATTGCCATAAGTGGTTTCATTCCAGCGATACTTGATATATTAACAATATTACCTTTTGTCTTGACAAGATGTGGTGCAGCCAAGCTAGTCAAATTCACCATAGCACGCACGTTAGTGTTCATCGTTTCATCGTACGTTGCCATTATACTATTGTCTAATAGCGTACCCAGTTTTAGTATGCCAGCGTTGTTAACTAGTACATCTAATTTGCCGTATTTATCGATTGTGTTGTCAATACTGCGTTTTGCATCTTCATCTTTAGTTATATCCGCTTTGATCACTAAAGGTGCAGTTCCAATTTTCTTAATTTCATCGGCGGTTTTCTTCAGATTAGATTCATTTCTAGCCAATATAACTACTTTAGCACCTTCTTTAGCAAACGATATAGCGGTTGTTGCGCCAATACCGGTACTAGCTCCAGTTATTAGAACTATTTTATTTGCAAAACTCATTTTTAGAGATTATGTGCGCCCGATACGATATATTCTATAAATCTGAGATGCCTAGTATGAATTGTTGATTAATTTATATTATAGCTATAATTATACTAAGAACTAAACTTAGGAAGTCTCTACACTTGCTATACAGAATGTCTTTCTGACTTTTTTGTTTTAATCATTAGTTTCCAGAGTCTATATAACCTCCTTATCCATTTTTTATATTTGAAAGAAACTTTTCTAATCTTGGTACAGGACGTCGCTTAGTCGATAAATTGTTGTTAGGACAAATAAATCATATCTATAATTGAGTAATATGAAACACTAATTTATACATTAATTAATTTTTACGCCAATGTGTAAAAAAATCGGCTGAGATATTTGTGCTATAATTAAAAAATATATTATATTTAAAAAATAGAAACTATAATATTATAATTTTCATTCTAACGAGAAACTAAGGTGAATATAATATTATGTATATTATAGATATGAAAAAGAAGTGAACTATCTTCTTTAGATTATATATATGTATATAGGCATATTATTAACCTTTTATGTTGTATACAAACATGTCTAAAAGACATTTAACCGTCATATATAGCTGACGTTAATTGACAATGAGGGTTATCATATCATCAATTACTACATAATGGAGGCACTAGTGTTAACACGTGACTTCTCCATACCTCAGTATCTTCGTACTGTTTCCTTTGTTTCCGTAAACACTGGATACCAAACTACGATATTAAATATTACATTTCTAATATTATTAAGACTTAAATCTATATTTAATCGTCTTACATGTGAGTTCGAAGGTATTCTGAGTATATCTGGTCTCCACTACTGTTCCGATTATAATATTCTTTATCACGGATTGTCCATTCATTAACACAAAAGGATCGGAGTTGCAATTAATTATCTAGGACACAGCCATCTAATTTAATAAAAAAAGAAAACATATTCTAATCATTTATACTTAATATATTACTACAGATATCTATGGGATCAAGTTTACAAACATAACAGGATTAAAACTTCAAAATCCATTTTTTAAATAATCTTGATATAACAATCAGTACGATGGCATAAAATTGATTGATTTTCTTAAATGTTCAAAAAAATATATATCGTAAGACAATTTTTTTGTTGGTTAATTATATAATGGTAACTGTAAAACAGAATCGAAGATAGCAACGTGACATACATATATAATGTAATTTGTTTTATATTTTTGCTATGTATGTAACTATTTAGTTCTTAATAACAGCGCGCTGCGCCCTGCATAACTCTTAGTAATAAATCAGATTCTGTAGTGCAGTTTGTTTACGTATCTTCCCGTACCTAGCCCTTGATACGAGTATAACACTGGCGACAAGGATGGGATTCGAACCCACGCCTACAAAGCACGCACAATTTTGATTAGAGAACAGAAAGTATAATTATTATTAAAAGCGTTATTCAACAAAAATTCACAAATACAACTCTATTTTTATGTATTCCCTTTTCAATTAATGAATATTACTTCTATCCTGAACCCGTACTAATGTTCCGATTGAGGTCCGTTCTTTGTGGACCAAATTTTTAAGTCACCTACCATTTCAAACTGTTTGTAAGTGGTACCCGCGATGAAACCGTATAAAGAAAACACGTTCCTTCCAAAGCATTCATGTAGCTATCTGTATTACAGGTGTGCCGCCCAAATTACCCACACTTCCCCCCAAAGTAGATTCGCCCCGTTCCAATAAATAACCGCGCGGATAGGAGCGAGATACGAAAAACAAATTGTGCCACTTTGAGAAATTTCTACCCAAATGATGTTTTTTTATTCCTACCATAAAATATTTGTATGCATTATGTTCCATGGTTAGAAAAATAGTTTTATTATATAAAAAGTAAATATAGGCGGGTGAGATGTTAGATATGAAGTTCGTAGCCCCATTGCTAACAAGATACCATGTCACGTTAGAATCACTAAGTTAACTTAGTGATCTCGGACAGTGCAGTTTCAGAAGGGGGTTTTTCAAGAAAGGTATTTTAAGTTTCTTAAGGGTCGGCGCGTGCACGCGCATCATGGTGTCTCACACGTCCATAGGCTACGGTAACTATTTACCATCAGATGTGCCGTATGCTTGTTTGGCACCATCGTCGTGTAAAAAAATTTCAAGTCGACCTCCACGCGCTCGCATCATGGTTGTCTATTTCTGGTAAATTCGCCACGATGACAAACTGACCTAACTTCACGCTCACCGTATTTTCCTCCAGTAGTGCTCCGCCAGCGTCTGGCGGCATTATCTCTGAAAAAAATATATACTAAATATACTGTCACTAAGATTATCCCAGATGAGGTAATCAAGGATCAAAAAGGATATTGTTAATTGTGAGTATATTTTAATCTTTAAGCGGAGCTGCGGGCCACTCTACCGCGTACAATTATATTTATTTTAATAAATTACCAACAAAATAACTTAATACAACGTAATGTAGCATGATTAATCAAATATTTCTGCTTTTCATTGGCTGGTTTTGAACATCACGTAATTTATACGCACCTATTCAAAAGTATTTCACGATATTTATGTCGTAATACCAGTATTAAATATGGATATTACCACAGATAATATACTATTACTGAAAATTAATGATAATTACATATAGTCAATTTGGATAAATAATTTATAGATATTTAAGGATTGGTTGATAAAATATTTTTTTGATATTTCTTCAAACAAATTAATTGTCATAAATGTAAATTATAAGGCAAATTTAAAAAACAAACTGGAGATTCCCTCGACTTAGTACTGGCGTTCACTGTACAGTAACAGAGGTGATGTAACTATATACATATATTATTGCTATATAATTATGGAAGAAATTCTTGAAATAATAACGAAAAACTAAAGTTAAATAAGAGACACACGAAAATAGCGACTTTGCTTCATACTATTTATCTATACATATAAATAAAATTGGAGTGTCTGTTTGTAATATTGAAATAGCCGTTTCAATTTCAATATTACAAACAGACACTCCAATATAAATACGGTACATACACCAAAATATTTTTTTTACAATTTTTGTTTCTCTGTTTGTTTGTTCCAGGTAATCTCTGAAACGGCTGGTTCGATTTTGACGGGATTTTTTTTAGCAGGTAGCTGATGTTATAAGGAGTAACTTAGGATACTTTTGTTTTAGATTTTTTTTTATTTTATTCTACGCGGACGAAGTCGCAGGAATAGCTAGTAGAATAATAAAAAGAGACAAAGCAACAAATCTAGGTAACAATAATTAACAAACAAACAAATTGAAATATAAATAATTAGTGGGGTACAAATTAATGATAAATATTTCAAACTTCATACAAGAAAATTTAAGATTGTTTTCCCAAAAATATTACATGTACTCGATGTAAATATAATCGCTTGACTCAGTCTTAAAATTATTCAATAATACTATGTAGTATTATATTATCTGTGATAATAGCAAATACATTGCAATGAATTTGCTATTTTAAAAAATGTATTAAAATTCCTTTTTTTTTAGAGGTTTTTGAATATGTGATCTATATTTAGTATGTCTTTTACTATTGCCAAGTATGGCATTACATGATAGAACCGGTTAACTGCTGAATAAAACATACACTTAAAGAAATGGATGCGCACTGTAAACAAAGTCACAATGAAACATTGTCACTGAATTGAGAAAAAGTGGTACAATATTGTTGAATATTTCAATGTAATCCGATTCTTCTACATTTTAGATTTACACGTGAGTCAATTGCTTTAAGAATCCTTTTAACACCTTTTTAATTAGTTTTTGGTAATCTAATTAGGTAGTTGGTCAATTGGACTATTATTTATCTGAATACAATTTTTAAAACCGCTCTTATGTACTTATTATTAAGTACTCTATTTTAGTAGAATATCTAGCACTTACCATAAAATTTCGAATAATAATTATATACGGGTTTGGTGTTGAAAAGTTTTTAAACGAAAGAAACTGTGCTAAGAATTTGTTTCGTCAAATATATAATGAAAGTCATAATGTATTTCCTAGTAGTTAAGTAAACTAAGATTACTTAGTTTAATTAACCAAAGTGTGTACCAAGTGGTTAGTAAGACAATAGGCTTATTTTTTCTACAGGTTTAGTTATAGTTTTAGAATAGATAACATCGAAATCCAATCCATTAATACCATCATGGAACTATACAATATTTATTTTTAAATAGATAGATAGTAGAAAGTTGAAACAAATTTTTAAAACTTTCATGCAAATTGCAAGATCATGTGATGAATTTATAATAAAAAGATCAAATATTATTTTCAGATTTTCAGTTTGGTTCTTGATGAAAGTGGTCCAATTTCATGTGCCTGACTTTCGGGTCCGTATCTACTTTCTAAGACTAACCCTGTATTAGATTAACTCATAAGTAGAGAACTTTCAGTGCTAAGTAAGTATATATTGATTTACATTAATCATTAACAATTAAAATTGAAAATTTTGCAATTTTGAGAACTAAAATGTATTCTTAGTGAAAAATTAAACACTCTATATAGACAAAGCAAATTCATAGATAAGAATTGTAATGCAGAGTACATTATCTAGAACAAATTGAATTCATTGACACAATCATGTCTAGTAAGAATTGTAAAAATAATTCTACCTTAGATTTTCCAATATTATCATTCGAATTTGTGACAATTCGAATACTCAAAGATGGTGGCCGCAAATTGGAATAGTTAGGAAATTAGGAATACCTGCCGCAGGCTAACATTAGAAATACGAGAAATTCTTCATTCATAAATTATTTCTCAAGCCAAAAACTACAAAACGAACTTAAAATATTCGTGCCTCAGGTATTTATTAATTATGTAGTCTTGAAATACAGGTATTATTTTTACTCAAATGTATTTCAATTTTAATTAAACTTGTATAAACAGTGAGATATATAAAGCTTGATTCCGTACGTTTGCGTCTACAAAACTTTTAAAAGTAGCTAGATTATGGAATCAAT